GCCTCCATACCAACGTGGAAGTTTGTTTATTTTTCACATGCTTGATCATGTGCTCGCGTAGTGTCAAGAATGATTCAAATGCAGCGTTCTTGGAATGCGGCAACGACAACGACGGTAATACTGTTTATGTAAGTCGAAAGCGTACAATGGAAATAAACACAGAAAAGACAGGGGACAAGTAAGGATTTCTTTTACCTCGATAAAGAACTTCCGGAGACCTCCAATACGGCGTGTTTCATAATCATATTGTGGTTTTGGGACGTAAGACACCGATAATTATTATTATGTTACTTGGCTAAAGGCTTCTTTATTTTGCATAGGGGGTGATAATAGTAGGTGTCGTCTATAAAGCACCTATCATGGCACTCCAAGTCGGATCCTTTTGTAAGTGAATTGAATTCATCACTTCTTTTTTACTCTGAGTAGTATTTCTGTATAGATGAGCTTTCGTAATGCAAACCGGTCACCCATCGTATTGAGGTTAACGTTCTTCTGGGTCTCGCCAGATGTGTACGCATCTCTTACCAGTTCATTATATAGCGCTCGACGCAATATCTATTCTATGTTTAGCCATAGCCTCCTTTATTTTCTGTGCCTGCGCTTTGCCGCCGGGATCAAAGGGAGCCGACCGTCAGGCTGAGTTCCCGCAATCACCACCAGGCGGCGCTGCCTTCCCAGAACCGGCAGAGCCTGTTCACTGACTCCGGTGCTACCGCCGGCACTGACGGGTGGGTCCTTCGTTGCGTGTTTGTAAGCGCGGCAAGCTTAAAAAACAAAAGTGTGATGCCACTCCCGTGTGCCACTCAAATATTTAGGAGAGAACATATGCAAGAGAGAAAGAATAAGTACGCAAGATAGCACATTGAACAGAACACCATACCTTCAAAGAAACGGTAGAGAAACTTGTTTATTGCGTATTAATTCATTCGCAACCTGCGGAAACGAACAAGAGGGTGTCGATCGAAACGTTCCTCACACGCACACAGTCTGACGAGCTTTAGTACCCTCGTTGACACTGTTCACAAGCAGCAATCACAATTTTAGCAATCACATTTTTTTTCTGATCACCGCGTCACTTCTCGGGGCTTTTGTCGAAGGCTGCAAGTAGCGCGGATATTCTTAGAATACGCTAGGCACCACACCTTTCATAAGCCTTCGTGTTTTACATCCTTGCTTAAAATCAGAAGCAGCGAAATGACGACTGCACACGGTTGAGTAGCAGGAAGTGGTGTTCGGCGTCCAATTGTTTCGTGAAATGACTTTTATCCACTTTTGCTGCAACTCCTCGTCGCTTGGAATTTCGTGGAATGAAATTCCTACTTCCTTCTTTTTGCTTGAAGACTTGCAACCGGGCACGCAACAGTACGCCATCGCACCTGACGCGGGTCATCACAGCCGAATGAACCACGGAGACTTGTGTGCGTAGGCCGCTGCACGAGACAGAAACGAGAGAAACCGTAAACTAACATTCCTGATTACTTAGCGAAATTTGCTGATAGGTGCGCGGAAAAGCCTCACGAGAAAGAAGCGCGAAAAATGATAGCAAAGCATGAAACCGGCCCTGCAAACACGAGGTGCAAACGACGTTGTTTGTTTACACGCACTCACTTATTGCCGCGTGTCATCTGTTCACGCAACACAATGAAGCAACAGTTAAATATCATACTTGCTGAAAGTACTACGCTGCGAAGATAGGTGCGCGGAAAAGTATTGCCAGAAAGAAGCGCGAAAAATGATAGCCGCGCTTGACAACGGCCGTGCAAACGCGGGGTACAAACGACGTTGTTTGTTTATACGCACTCAGTTAATGCCGCGTGTCATCTGCTCACGCAACACAATGAAGCAACAGTTACAGTTATACTTGCTGAAAGTACTACGTACCGTTTTGGTCGTAAATAATTGGTGTTGCAAACGTATGCGACACGAACAAACGTTTCCTGGAGATGCGTCGCCGCGGCTGAATGCGCCGACTCGATTCTGGGATGCGAGCGCCCCTGGCGGATAGCAGACGCAAAAAGAGAGGAGGATGCGGGAGGCGGCCGAACGGGCCCGGCGGACTGACTGCGCGGGCACAGAAAATAAAGGAGGCTATGGTTTAGCTCCCATTGTTTACTCTGCAGCGCAACGCCGCAGTCTCACCGTGGTGGACGGAGAAAATCACAGACTTGCGTCGAAACCCCGAATCTGTCGTCCTTCCACCTCGCAAATAAATGGAAGCGTGCCGCACATCTGTTACCTGCAAAACGTACACTAGCTACCGCACTGAAAAAATGGTCTCGGCATTTACGTGTGGCAGTGTTTTTTTCGCTTAAAAAACAAACTTATGGTAAGCTAGAGAGCCAGTTCTTTTACTCGCTTTAAACGTTCGTTTTGAGTCCCGTTTTCTGCTTTAATGCTAGCTACTTCATCAAACAAGAATAAATGCCAACTTCCCGTACTCTCGCATGGCTCGCTTTTCGAGGTCTTCGTTGAGAAGGAGGAGGGCATGCAAGAGGAGGCGGAGGAAATGCGACGAAGAAACAACGCCCCGCAATCTTCCTAATGGCCTTGCGAAAATGGCCGCCGTGTTTGGACGCGCGGCCAACTCAACGCTGTATGGCGCGGACGCGTTCCAACTGATACTTAAATCCGCGAAATAACAGCCGATCGGCGGCACAGCCTATCCAGAACGCCGCTACCTGTCCTTGCGAGTATAGTCGCATCGAGAGAGGAGAATGGGGCAACGAGAGGCTGTGTTATATGTAAGAAGGTCGAACGAGAGACGCAGTTTTTAGCCAGAACGCGTCACAGTCTTTCCTTCTCCCAGTGGTCGGTTGCGTGCATACTGTAGGACTATACAGCTATTTTTTGCTCAGACCCCTCGCACTTTTATCCGCATGTGGTACACGTTGAACTTCGTTTTGTTTTGTTTCTTCTATCGCGCTTCACCAGCCAAGAAGTTGGTGACCATAGGCGCGCCTTTTCTTGGCCAGGACGCCCGGTATTGCGTGAAATGCACGGCGCCCTGCACCGCTTTATACTTGGCAGGCACTATAGATATTCGTCCGCCTGGCCGGCGTCGCGCGCGCCAGTCTCATTTCGAATGCAGACGGCCCTTTTTTCTGAGCTTTCGTCCTCCGCATCTTACACTGCAAAGCTCGGCGAAACGGTGGCAGAGGTTCCAAGGTCTTGCGAGGGCTTCCTCCCGTTACACGGACTTGACGATCCCTTTCTGCGAGGCAGTAAAAGAGAAACTACAAAAAAGCCACGCGAGAGGCAGAAGAGAATTCCGTTATCAGTCTGCATGCTTAAATGCTCGCTCTCACAACCGTTGACTGAGGTATTTGCAGCGCGGTCGCCGAGCCTGTTCTACGAGATAGCCGGCTTGCGCCACGACGCGCCTGCTATATCGGGGATTGATAACTGCCGTCCGGGTTCGCGCGCGAAAGCTCTGAGCAGCCGTATTCAAGCGCAGTCTCTCATTTGGCTTGCTAAGATGGCTCAGAAGTGCTTGAGCAAAGCAGGGCTTCTTCACTCACGCGAGGAGGACCAGTCTGTGCGCCTGATGGATCATATGAGACACGAGCCGCGGCGCCCATTTTTTTGGCGTTTGCTAAGCTCAGTGGAGCGAGATCCGTGTTCATTTGCAATGCAAGCAGGAGCTTTCGGTCGGCGCTTCCGATTTCGATGACGACGTACATGTATACGCGCGACGTGCTCGGCTTGTTTGAAAGAGCGCCGGACATGCCTTCACGCACGCTCGCTGCGTGTTCTCAATTACGGGCCGTGTCTAGGCAGCAGGGCTGCGAATTCCCACTTTCGCCGGGCCGTGTCTTTCTTCGCCTTCGCACTCGTTAAAAGTATTTCACCAGCGCGCCACCGCTTTGCTCACACTTCCGTTGATGATGCGCCGTTCCAGTTTTGTTACTTTTGCACCTCCGCTGGTTTGTCTTCTATGTAGGGCGTGCACGTCTTGTGATGACCACGTCGTTCGGTTTTCGCGCAGCACTCGTGACTCTATAGTGTGTACCTCTATACGCGAGTCGTTTGCTGCTCGTTCTGAAGCGGCTCGTTGGCGCCAACTCCTTCGCAACACGCGCTCGTAGTTCCCCGAAGTGGAGCGTCGAAAGAAGGCGGCGTGCGGGAAGGAAGTGCCGAGAGGAATTTGTAGACAGTCGAATGGCGGGCAGTGGGAGAAGAAAGCAGATTAAAGTGAGTGGCTGTCCGCACTTTTCTAACGCTATATTCAATAACGCCGCAGGCGTTTTGTAAAAAAATACGGAAGGAGAGATTACATCACCAGCGGTGACTGTTGGCGGAAGCGTCGCGGGGGAAAACGGTCCGCACTGAGACGATCATCGAGTGAACGGAGCTGGGTACACGCAAGGAAGTTACATAACCTCCTTGGACACACGTCCTTTTTTGCCTGGATGTGTCCTTTGGTAAGAAAGTGTTACGTGACTGCCACTCCTCCTATGCAGTTCAACGTTTCGCCGTTGCTTTGGATTCCAATATCTGTAGTTCAACAACTGCATATTTCCACTTGAACTTGTTTCCTGAGGATCGGAACGATGGCCCACGCTGTGATCTGTCTGCGGTACTGGTGACAATCTCTGACTGATCGTATTCTAATGCCAACGATCGCACACGCGTCCCTAGTGGACGCGCTTTTTTTGTCAGGGCCCTACAGGAAACGAATGTAATTGTCAAACACTGTCGCATTCTCGTCGGTAAGATTGATTTACACACGATAGATCCACTGTTTGCGCACTATGTTCCAAAACAAAATGCCGTCGTCCTGCTGCGAAGTGTTGTCTTGCTTTTGCAATCTATACTACGAGGCTGCAATCTTGTATAGTGAACGTTTCTGTTGTGTTAGCGTTTTATGCCACGGATTCTTATGAACGAACTATCAACCTGTATGTGTATTTTTGAAATCAAAAACTATTATGGCTTGGGGCACACTTTCGAAAGGAAAAATATTCTTATGAACGAGTGTTTCTTTTCCTTTCTTTATGCAGAAGAAGAGAACAAGTCTGACTGGGCACTGCCATCGACTGTCGGCCAAGTCGACGATCTTGCTCCTACCAGCGGTGATGAAGAAATCTTGAGCCCCATAGAACACGGTAAGTCTCTACAGGTGGCTTGAAAGCATTTGCTAGCTATATAGAACAATTTTTTTTTCCTATACGAAAGAGCATAGTTTTGCCCCTTGGCATTACAACACTTACACGCTATCATATTCAATTTTTGCGATAGCTGAAGGTGTTTTTGAACACGGCACAAGGCCCTCACGGAAATGGAACGAGAAGAGTCCATTTCCATGTGAACATTGAGGTAGTATCACTGCGTATGAAAACAAAAGCTACCCATCAGGAAAAAAAATTCGTACATGAGAAAGTATCCAACTATTTCCTCGTCTACGGCGTCTCTCATAATCATATAGTGGGTTTGAGACGTTGAACCCCACATATCCATCCAAGTAATCCCTTCCCGAGGTCGTTCTATGATCTGTTATACAATATTATAGCAGATCCCAGAGCGAGGCTGGATTATTTCACATGTACGCGAGTGTAATTTTTAATTTGCAAACGTGTCGCTAAAAGCTCAAACTCACGTACTGTAAGCTTGTGACCCCCTCCCCCCCCTTTTTTTAAGAGGCAGAATTATGGGTATACAGCACATAGTTATCTAGAATGGCGATGTGAATCTACGATCATGGGAGTTTCCCGGTGTAGCGACTTAATTTTTGTTTCTCTTGATCATCGCGACGTGCCATTGTACACGACTCTCCATCAATATTATACATGTATACGGAAAGAATATCGTTTTGGCGACTTGCACACTCCCCGCGTGATTCATATTTCTTGAGATAGCAACCTTATCACCCCCTCCTCAGAATCTAGTTCCTCAACCGCTGTGCCTTATCGACTACGTTCTTGCTTTTCGCGCAGAGTTTCTCCAGGGGCTAAATATTGTTAAAGAGTACATGCAATCGCTCGACCGATTCGGACTCTCATTGACGGTACAGCGCTTCATCCCACACCGAAATATCCGCGATCATGCAGTGCGCGAAGCGATACAGATAGAAATTTACCTCGCGTTTCTTTCCCCCATCATTTATTCTCAGCTATGCGAAGTCACGCTTACAAACGCTTTACGATAAGGAAACAATAAGGAGAATATCGTTAATGCGCTGTGCGAGAGCACTCAAGTCTTGCAGAAGGAGAGATAAGATTCTCCTTCACAGAGATAGTTGGCCTGAGAAGAAGAAGAAAAGACAATGTATGGGCAGCCGTCCTGCAGTACCTTCGCTCCTAAGCGAAGAATCAGATAGGAGCACACGAGATCGAGTATACGACATATTTAAACCGTCCAAACGCGGAAGAAGCGGAGGAAGTGGAAGTACGAAGGGACCGGCAGGTAACGGAATGGGGCTCTCGGCTAACTCGAATCGGACACTCCCACACGACGTATAGGCATACATATATCGTCGTTATAACGGTGCGTAAGACAATCACTTGTTTCTTCGGCGTGAGAAAGTAGAGCCGTCGGTCGCCTCGCTCCCAGTGCCGCCGCCATTCCGCAGAGAGGGTTGGTTATACTTCGCGTTGCGAGGCCGTCGTTTCTTTGTTCCGACGCGCATCCCTCGCATATAGGCGCGGCGTCATTACTTTTGTTTTAGCTCACGTGTGCACACACAAACAAACCGGAACAGTGGCTCCAAATTGTGTGTAGGACGAGCCTCCTTGGGATATGTATAGGGGGCGCAACGGTGGTGGCGTCACGGGGGCGTTGTGCGTGAGAAAGTTGGTTGGAGGGCGATCTCCTCCTATATGAGAGATTCGTGTAGGTACAGCTCGTTCGACAGGAAGCGAAGGTAGAGCAGTGCACGCGTATAAGGCTGTTTTCATTCCGACGAGTGCACGCATCGAGACGACTAGGTATAGCTTCTGCGGGCCGTGACTAGCCCACGGTTACTGGGCATATCGGGGGGGGGGGGGGGGGGGCTGGTCTCGCACGCCTGTATCTTTTTGGGTTGATATGGCACGACTGAAATAAATTTGTATCGCGCAACGTTGTGACGCATGTAACTTCAAGCCGAAGCATCAGATCCGCTTGTTTCTTTGCAATCTGCCCGTGTGCTCAGATTTGGTTGCATGGGAAATAACTGCAGGTGGTCGAAATTTCTGGATCACTCCACTACGGCGGCTCTAATAATCATGTGGTGGTTTTGGGACGTTAAACCCTACATATCAATCAATCATCAGTTTTTTTTTTTTTTGCGAACTGTCTTTGCTGCTCCTTATATCTTTCTGTTTTGAATAGGTACGATTTCCTTGCAATGCTGTCTTGTCGCCCCAGCTCCGAGAGCACTCATCATGTGTTAACTTACAGTTGACGTTGTGGAGACCATGTTCACTGTCACCAGTAAAACATAGAGAGCTGTTCAGGTCATTCGGGCAGACAAAGGTCATTCTCCGAGACGGCAGCGTAGCTGGACTGCGGCCGAGTGTGTCATGATCCCGAAAGGTCATACGCGTATACCCCTTGTTTCCTAAGTCGACGTATATGAGTGAATGAGTACAAGCAGTTTCAATGAATAGCTCCGGACGATGCACTTTCCCTCAGTGGTTTACATTACTTCTTTTCTTATTTGCCGCAACGAGAAACAAATAGCACACGTAGACACACGTACACCACGGACAAACAATCACGCACACGCGTAACTTAGAAGTGTGGCAGCTTGGGCTAGTTGGTATGGCATGACGATAGTTATAGCGCGAGAACAAAACGACGACACGTGTCCTTCTTGTCTCTGTGTCGTCGTTTTGTTCTCGCGCTATAACTATCAGCACACGCGTAAAGTCCAGGCAATTTTAGAAGTACCAAGCCTTTTTTATTAGTTGCGCGATGTCCGCCACCAGCTAGCTTGTAATAGCTAGTCTTACACTGAATTTCACCGATCAATTATTCTCGTCAGACCGTTTGCGGTTTTAGGCAGCTATAGTTACGAGCGTGAATGTTAAAAGAAGTATTCGGTACCATCGCCAAGAAGAAAAATATCAAAGCCTTTATGATTTGCCCGCCGCGCTTTACCATTGTGCGTTTGAGAGAAGCACACACTTAAATTATCATGTCTGACTCATCCACTAACATTTTTTAAAGCGTACCTGATGCTATCGTGCTTATCCTGCACATCCTGTTGACATGACTCATGAGTACAGCCAACCCATGTTATCGAGGTCACTGAGTAAAGCTAACCGTCACGCCTATATGTCTCCGGTACTGCTCGCAACTTCCAAAACTGTATAGATAATAATCCCTGACGCGCACGCGACCACAAAGATAAGAAGTGATTCAGGCCATCGCAACGTGCATTCAGATCGTAACAGAAAACAATGGAACTCTCTCTGTGACGTCATTGCGCATTTGCATAGCGTATAGAGTACTGCGCACGCATGACAAGTAGTTATCGATCACCTTTTCTTCTTTTTCTTTTAGTTCTCCCTTCTTATGTACTGAACTGCATTCCTCGCGGGTGTGACGTTAAAGAGCTGGACTTTACCCGGAGATAACGAGCGCGTCGGCAACGGTCGAATGCCACGCATTCCCGATGTCTGATTGAAATTGTCTATTTTGTATGTGTGAGTGTGAGCGTTCTACGCTGGGCGCATTCCACACATTCCCATTTAGATATATCGCTTTCGCTGCGCAATCCAGGAATTCTCGGGCGCCCGTATAATACACGAGAGTGTCGTAATTGTCGCGCCGCTTTCGTCACCTGGTACAAAGAGATCAACGAATCGATAAGCTCTCACGCGGAGCCACAAAGATAAAAAAAAGGGGGGGGGGGGGGGGACCGACCCGAGAATTGCGAGTGCGCTACTGTCCGTTTGTTCAGCGCGGGCATAATGAGGCGTAATAAGGGGCAGTTTGTGCAACAGCGCCCCCGGCGGCAACTCGTTCGTTCTGCATGCAAGCTGCGAACGACGTGGCCGGGATTCCGAAGAACCGCTAAGCAGCTTTGTCTATAACATAACACCAACGAGGGTGGCAGGTCGCCCATTGCAGGGCACTTAATAATAAAGGTGGGCGAGGAGGGCGATGCAGATGGATTTCAAGACGCTTGGCCCGAGGGAAGCAGGCAGCCGTAATAACACTTCGGCTCGTTAAAGAAAAGAAGGAAAAAAGAATGCAGCTCGTTAATGAAAACGAAAACGCAACGCTTGTGGGAGCTGCGGCCGCTGATGTACGAGATTGTACGTCAAGGCCCGTATACGCGACAAATCGTTTCGCACCACGTCCGCTATTTCGTGATAGAAATAGAAACATCGGCAATAGGGGACTCGCGAGAACCGTGACCTCCTATACAGAGAGAAATATTTCAGAATTTTCTTGGAAGCCAGCTTACTTAAACCCGCTCATTAGAACAGAAAACACACTTTGGATGGTCCACACGTTTTTAGTGAGTAATTGCGATGTCCTTCCACGATATTACCCACCAACAGAATGTGATCGTTGACAGTCAAGATATACTCTGCAAGGTCTCTAAATGCATAATCAGTGGCATAATTAGGTTTAGCGTTAACACAAAAGCAGAGCCCAAATTTGTGATTTTTTTTATTCGCTACAATATTTTTTACCTGGCTGGCGACCTTCCTTAAAACATTTTTCGCCTTCATCAATGTCATTCACTACCCATTCTTAATCACTGTCCGACCGTGGGAACATTTCTCAGATACCCCGTCTCATTACAAGAGCGATTTACAATAAACCACTTCTTAAGTGCGGTTCTCTCTAAAGAGAATGACCCCGATGAACCGCGATCCTCTTCACGCGTGCTATCAGCTCTCGCGATTCCACTGCACCACGTAAGCCGCGACTCCGGCGCTTTCACAGCACTGCGCGGTATCGCGCAGAGGTCGAACGTGGTGACACACCGCGTGCCATTCCTCGTACCGCGGGGCAATCTCTCCGTTTTTTTTGTCCGGCACATGCGGCGTGTAGTGTTTTAACTGGGCCACTACGTAAGCGTGCGCATCGATAAGGGCCCCCTCAACACCCCTCGCCTCGCCGCACGACAACAGAACGCCGCCTCCGGAAATGCGTGCTCCAGGTTCGCTGCGTTCCTCGCGTTGTTAAACGGCGCCTCCAGCCGCCAGTGCTGCGCCTGCCTCCCGCTGTTCTTGTCGTCTCGTTCTTTCTCTTCTGTACCTAATATACCGCGTATGGTTAATCTCCTTAGCTACGCTTGGCACGGCGCCCTGTTGTAGTACGTATGTGCCTTGGGAATGCGGCGGACCTTCGCAATGCGCCGGTATTGAGGACGTGAGGATTCCCCGCCGGATTCGAGGGTGAAGTGGAAACGTGAGTTACGGGGCTTGAACGCCCTGGAATTCCCGTCAATCGCGTATCACACTCTGCGAACGTTGCCCTTATCTTTCTGTACTCGTGCACGCCTCTGTCCGCGCGCCACATCGAGGTGAAATTATCAACTACAAATGGGGTGTTCTGTGGAAATGAATCTTTCGTCTCGTTTATTGGCAAAATGCCTCACATTTTCGGAGATACGTTGCCGGATTTATTGGGTTTACACGTTAGCAATTTCGAGGTGCTGCCTAACGTACACGTTAGGCAGCACCTCGAAAGCCCACATAGTTCACCCTTTTCCATAGATAGCTGCGCCTTTTTACAACGTCAATGCACGATCGCTAACGCTGCACCTATGACTCGAGGGGAACTATTGTCAGTGAAAGTGGCGTAAATATCCGGAAGGGTAATCATGCGCTGCAGATTGATTGATTGATTTGTGGGGTTTAACGTCCCAAAACCACCATTTGATTATGAGAGACGCCGTAGTGGAGGGCTCCGGAAATTTTGACCACCTGGGGTTCTTTAACGTGCACCCAAATCTGAGTACACGGGCCTACAACATTTCCGCCTCCATCGGAAATGCAGCCGCCGCAGCCGGGAATCGAACCCGCGACCTGCGGGTCAGCAGCCGAGTACCTTAGCCACTAGACCACCGCGGCGGGGCATGCGCTGCAGAGGTACACACTGGAAAATAACTACGACACGAAACCAAAGACTGCTTTTCAGTAGGTTGTATGAACTGGCATTATTTGAAGCACTTTTACACGTAAATATTCTGATCTTGGTAACGTGCGTTTCGCACTGATAACATATATTGAGGGAAATGTCAGAAAGGGCGCTCTCTGTTCACTAGGTTCCACTGCTCACGTAAGATGGACGTATCGCTGACTAAATTTGAAGTACCACGGAGAGTAATATATTGCATTACAATTATCAAACACCACCCTATAGTGGCCTCATGACTACACGCACCCAGTCTGGTATAGAGCAGATCGATATTATGGTATAGAGCAGATCGAATGCGATCTGCTCTATACCATAATGCAACACTTTGGCCATGAGTGGCCGCAATTCAAAGCTGGAGTGTGCATGCCACCGCTTACTGTCCTTTGCCCGCCACATCTTCCTGTTGACAAGACCTCATTCCCGGGAAGCAACTTTCATGCTTATACCCGTGTAAGTTTATAATGGAGCCACTTCCGCTTTGCGCTGTACGAATTTCGTTGGAAAACCCTGCATACAATACGCATAACTCCTTCGCGCGTGCACGCCGTGCGTGAACAACGAGCATTTCCGCGTTTGCCACCACGCCAGGGGGGGGGCCGAATTCGAGGCCCGCGCGTTCGATGAGGTGGTCTTCCTGAGCACCCACTTTCTGAGGGGGGTTGCTTTGTTTCACTACAGTGCCAGTAAGCGAGCGGAGCTTGAGGGCGCGAAATGTTTCACACTGTGCATAACTCCCAAACGGCCTGGTGGGCTAGCCGGCGAAGATGTTGGTTTCCGGCCTTGCCGTGGGCAGCGAACCGGGATCGTCCGAGGAGACGCCGACCGGGGCGTCGTTTTTCCGTGGCTCGCTCGCGTGACCGCTGCTTGTTGCACCCTGAAAGTGGCGCCGGTGGTGCGCGAGAAAGAGCAGAGAACGGTAAAGAAAAACACACACGCAAGGAAGAAAGAGAGAGCGCGAGTAAGAAAGAAAGACGAGCAACCGCCGACAAGGGGGCCCGAGGCCGTTCACATTGGAGGAGGAAGTTCCTATTTTTCGGTCACGGCCCGCGGGAATTTCGATTCGTGACTTTCGAGTGGAGAAAATAACACGGCCGGATCGAGACGTGCGGCAGAAGCATCGACGACTGCGTGGCGCCTCTCGACGACACGCCACACCGCGGGGTCCTTGAAAGGCCGTCGATTTTCTCTTCGTTCTTCTTTTGTTCGATGCCGTATTCGCATTCTATACGCCCGAGTTTATACCTCTTCATATGTTCTCTATTACTTTTTTCTTCTTGCCGAGTCGAGAGAGAGCGCGATGGGGGCTGGTCCTTCGACCGGCGAGAGTATACGGAGCGGTCACACCTTGCAACAGAAAGCTGGGGCTGCTGTGGGCTCTTTTGTTGTTTTTCATTCTTCTACTCGTTTATTTCGTTTTTGATTCCACGGAGCATCATCTTTGTGCGTGTCATTGTCTTAGAGGGGACCTGCGATGCAATGCGGAATAACAAAACACGGCACCTAAAACTGGAATACGCATGCGCAAGTCGTATTCTGGGGGTTAATTACCTACGCGCTTTTTTTTTTTTCGTGTCCGTTTCTCAGCTCTTGAACTTGTACGCTTCTTCAAGGTGATCGTTGTCATCTAAGCGACAAACGAACAATGAAATCATAACCTTTTTTTTTCCCCGAACGTCTGGGACAAAGTGATCTGGTCACGCTGAGACACGAAAACTAGAGTCTGTGGCTTCAACAATCGCCACGTTCTTGTTTCACAAGACCCTCACGGCTTACGCTTTGTCGGGGATTTCTAAGCTTGGTTTTTGTCTCGTACTGCCGTAATCACTTCAGCATTACTACTGCAAAAGAAGATAGGTTAAGGAAGCGATAACTATCTTTTTTCTCTGGGCGTTGTATATTTGTAATAGAGGCAGACCACCTCGATGTTTAGCCATGCCAAACTTCTCGAGGTTTCGTTGAAGAGTCCCTCATTCTTATCAGCCTCAATAATAGTCTATATGCGCTTGTATACAAGTCCCGCGTGTTTCTTAGTTGCCAGCGAAGGCCTATTGCCCTTGTTAAGCCTCTCGCCATCTAGACTTTCTGTTTCAGCACAAAACTTTTCGACTCCTTTGACAAAGTCGACCGACTATTGTGTCTCGTTGTCTCTCTCTTCTGAAGCATTTGTCACTTATGACACAGCCAGGGATCTCTCCTCAGTCCTCACTCTGGCCGACGTGCAACCGAGTCCTTGAACGTCTCAGCGGGCGCGCTGCCGCCGCCGTCTCTGACATCCGACATCCGCCCTGGAAGGACGTGCACTTCCGGGCGCGCCGCGTTTCTCCCTTAAGGCGGCCCAGAGCAGGAAGGCTCGTGGCGCCTAAGGTCATTGCCACGCGTGGGAGAGCAGCGTGATGTGCGTGTTCGCGAGCAACACGATCTTTCTGCGATCGCGTTGATGGCCCGCGTCTGCATCATGGCGACGAGCAGCCGTGACCGATGAGCAGAGACGCAAACGCCGCGTGTCTGTCTGTGTATGGCAACTGAGGCTCGGGAGGAGAGCACAGGCTATAGCACTGTCTTGCTTCTGTCGCCAAAGACGACTTCCGCTCATCCACTATCACCGTATTGCGCTTCCTCTTCTTGTTCTTCTCACGCGTCGCGCGCAGTCGAGTGGCCTCTTGAGCCATCTGGTTTCGGTTTCTTCTAGGGTACCTGTGCGCGTGAAGGCTCAGTGAGGCGGCAAGGCCTGCTGCCGCATATCTCTGCTACAAGACATACGCGGCAGCAAACGGCAAATCTCTATTGCGTGCGGCGTATTTCTTGTATTAGATATCTTTGCCATAAGAGATGTGCCGCGAAGATATCAGATGGAAGCGAATTGTGGTCAGAAATATGTTCTAGCGCCACTAATGTGATAAACTCGCTTAATGGTCCAGGTTAATTGTACGATATTGTCCTCGCTCAAGCCAACTTTTATGGCCTTCTGTAATTATATGCGATCTTTGAAATAAAATTTTAGCGCTTTGCTTATAATAATGGCTAACTCATAATCATCTTTGATATAACTAACCCAGGAGCTGAATGGTGTTATTCTTGCGGAAACATTCTGGAAAGACATGTTTGTGGTATTGGTGAATCAATATTGATCTGTCTTTTAAAAAATGCCTCACAGGAAGTCGATTGTTTAAAATACCCATTTAAGACTTAATCTGGCCAACTATGCGCTCGCCAGCGTTATAAGTCATGTCCTTCGGCTGCTCTTAACAGAAATAAATTATTTAAAAGGATGCATTGTAGCTTTTAAATGTATCAGTGTGCTTCAACTGCATATTTAATGTCAGCTATCTCCTTCCGAATGCTCGGCTTTAAAAATGTTGCAATATAAACAGTTCCTCAGAGTAAGAGTCTTATTACAGGCCCCCACCCCATCCCGAAAAAAAAATGACATCAACGGCCTGGCGTTTTTTACTCGTTGTTAGCAGCAAGCTGAATTTGCAGATAGACACCAGAAGGCCGGCGAAGTCACCCGCAATGTTTCCTGTGTCATCGTATTAATGCCATGTAATATGAGTTGCCATAAATAACGCTCGCGGTGACTGTGAAGCTTGATGGTTACTGCTGCTAGCGAATCTTGTGTTGACTGATATCGGGAGTGTTGATTATACGTTCCTATTTTTTTTTCTCAGAAGCACCGAGCCCATTCCGGGAGAGGGAGGAGAAGTCACGCACTCCGGACTCGGAAGACCCCATGAGCTCTGACGAAGGCGGTGGGCTTCCCGTCTCTGCTGCTGCGGCGGCTGCCGCCCGACGGCCACGAGTTCCCGACCGCTTACAGCGAGCCGTCATTGCCCAAGGCGCCGCCACCACCGTCCGCCGCTTCCGGCGTTCCCAGTTGCCAGGAAGACGCGCTGCCGCTCAAGAAGCCCATGCACGTCTACGAGGACTCCGGCATCTTCTCGGACGACCCGCTGTCCTCGCTTTCCGCTTCCGAAGGGGAAGAAAAGACGAAGGTTTCCGTGACCAAGTCGCCCAAGGAGTGCTGCAGTCGCCAGGGTGACGGGCGAGCCGCCGTTACCGACGAAGAAGCACCCTGGACCAACGGCGTCGACAAGGACTCCACGTCGTCGCCATCACCACCCTCGATCATTGCGGCAGAGCCACCACCGTCTGCCACGGCGATGCCTAAGGAGGACACCAAGTGCCTCCCGGCGACGTTCGCGTCGACGCCCCTGCCCACGCCGACGGCCCAGTACAGCTCGCCTCTCATCCTGGATCGGAGAGCCTCTGCCGAGGCAACGCAGAAGAGGTACTCCGGCTATGCTAGCATCTATGCTTGAGACGACAAAGTTCGGCACAAAGCTCAAGGGGCTCGTCATTCCTGACAAGCCCAAGGCACCCGCGACGGTGGCCAAGACGCTGCCAGTGATTGTGAGTAACTCCGTTGTGCCATCTTCAAACAAAATGGTCCCTGCCATGGACGACTGCAAGATAAGAAGGGACAGCAAACACTCTCCACCGTCGCCGAAACACACTACCTTGCTTGCCGATCCCCCGTGGAAGACAAAGGAGGTGTCTGAGGTGCCCAAATACTCACCTGCGTTCAAGCGCCGATCTCTTCAGGTGTCGAAGTCGTGCGATGTTTCTCCAGTGCGTGGCAGCTCCCAGAATGGTTTCCAAGTTTTCTCTTTCGCACAGTAAACCCGTGACACCAGTTCTGCCAGAAACACCTGTTATGTCTCCACCTCCACTGAGCTACACGTCATTCTGGAAGCAGGTCGAGGTCCAACAGCAGCTCTTCCACCTTCTCCAATCCTTCTAGTAGCGGATGTTCGCTGGAAAGTCAGCAAGAAAAGCCGAGCTGATTTGTACTCCATGAGTGATGGCGAGCACAAGCAGGCGCCCACTGTCGTTGCTGAAACACCGGTTGCAAATGGCAAACAATACGGGCAGTCACCGCTTCTTGAGCGGTATCTCTCTAGTGCCACCTACGATGACAAGAACGCCGAGTCGGCGAAGGTGTCGAGGCAAAGCAGCGTGAAAAGTGTTTCGTCCACCGATTCTCGGAGTGATCAAAAGACAATCACGAATGGTTACGATGGGTTCAGTGCGAAGTACAACTCCGAGCGGAGAAGTTCCGCTGAAATTCAACGGAAAAATTCCCTCGGCTCCGTGGACGCTGTAATTCAGGAGGCAAAAGCACAAACAACTAGCGTGGCGGGCAGCGCTCCTCAAGTACAGCGATTAGCCTCGACCGAAACAAAGTGCGATGAAAGCAGGAAGGCTTCGAGGACGTGGGATGCCCCTTCGCTGAAGGATGCCAAGACAAAGTACCGCTCCATGGACGACCGTAGTTGGAACTCGCAGTTCAGGCAAAACTCTTGCGAACAGCCGGTCTACTCGGCGAGAGTGAACAGTGTCTCTAGCCTCAGCGCTGACCAGAGGACACGATCCGTGGACCTGAAGGAAAGCCCCAGTGAAGCCTGGCAAAAAAGTGTTAGGGCCAGTCAACTAGGTCAACAGAAAACGGTGCTTCAAAAAATCAATCGACAGCGCAGACAGTGCCAAGAGTTTCAAAGCATTGGCTCAAAAGTGGGAACAGAGGTCTCAGGACGCGCAAGGGGGTGCTCCACAAGCACTGAGGAAAGACATGGTTGTTTCAAATGGCAAGAGTCACCCGCCAGTTGCTCCCAAGCCTAACGAATATAATAGGCAGAGCCAGTACATCGTTGCCAACGGAAAGGCGTCCCCGTCCACATCAGCTGATTACCCTCCTCCTGTGCAACTACGCTCCCAGAGGTATCCGCTTGCGAGGCCTGCATCGATGTTCGAGGAAAGGGACAAACCACGCCTGAGCACTGATTGGCCAGAGTCACATCCTTCGTCTTATCTTCGAACCAAGGTGGACAGGCCCTCACCTAGCGTAGCATACAGAAGCAGCAAGAACTGCTCGCCTTCGCTTAGCGTAAACGACATCAAGAAGGCCTTCGAGAACGAATCAGCAAAGGTGCCACCGAGAACGCTGGCTTCTCTACGAGCCATAAGGTCCGAACAACAACTTCCCCTTCCCGAGCACCGACGGTTCTCATCGATCGACTCGAACGACTCGGGAAACAGCACGGCATCGAGGGAACAGTACTCCTCCATGACGTCCCTGGCCTCCACGAGCAGTCTCATTTCGCCCCAGGAACTTCAGCAACTTATCGACGAGGCAAACCAATCGCTGGACGAAGCTGGCGCCTCTGGACATGACATTCACGTGGTCATCCTCCACAAGGACTCGCCAACGAGCGGAGTTGGGGTCACCCTTGCGGGTGGCTCCGACTACGAAACAAAAGAAATTACGGTGAGAACTGTTAGTAATAAATCTTTTAAGGATATTATTTTCTAATGAAAATAGCCTAGAGTTCAAAAGTATGGTTTGAACCACATTTATATTTAGTGGCGCTTAGCCTAAAGTTTCGTGTTTCTTGGTTGTGCTTGCAGTGGCTTGCAGTGGCAATTTCTAACACCTAAAAAGCGAATAGAAATATAAAACGCACATCTGGAGCTCATAATGCATTGGTACTCGGCCACTACAGATAAATTATGTTAAAAGAGATATTGCTACAAATTTGTATAGCAGATACCGCACAAATCGGGAGAGTGTATCTCGATTGAGGCGCCTCATACTTGATGAAACTAAATGCTCTAGTACCAGTAGTTGGCACCAATACACGGAAGCTCGTATTGTAGGCTCACACCAACGAAATGATATCCTATTAATTCACATATAAATATTGCAGGCTTGAAGTAGGCAGTTCTCTTCCTGACGTGTTATTCGGAACTTGGAACATGCAGGTCCACAAAGTGATTGCCGGAGGCCTGGCTGACCGGGATGGACGAATAAGGAAAGCGGACCGAATCCTCTCCATTAACGGCAAGACGATGAAGAACGTGACGCACAAGGACGCGATCGACATCCTCAAGTCCCCGAGGCAGGAAGTGGTGCTGGTCATCTCGCGGGACGGCCGCCAGTCCCTGAGGACGACGCCCAACATCAGTCGAGCCTCGAGCCTCTCTTCCGTCCTCTGACGTGGTTGACGAGCCTGAGGTCTCCGCCTCTGCGTCGCCTGTGACCGAGGCCCAACGGAGCCCCACGCCTGCTAAGCACGGTGAGCTGCTGTCCTGTGCACAGAATATATCTCCGAGAGAAGTAGTGCGCGAACTCGGTTCTGCTCAAGAAATATTATTGGTTTCTCCGTAACAACATTGTCACATATATGGCCCATAATGCACTCTAATCGAGACAACGACTTAACTTACTGAGTTATTGATGTATCTGAAACACTCAAAAGAGGACAACTGAATATGATAGACATTTTAACCTCACACGGACGTTTGGCTACGACATTGAAGAAGTTGAGCTCTGCCTTTCGGTTTTCTGACTGTCGTGGTAGCATAGCAGGTAAAAGGTGTCGCACTCTTCAGCTCAAGGACGCGAGCTTGATTCTTGTTCGAAGCGGCCATATCTTGATAGGAGGCGAAGCACAACGATGACCGTGCACTGCCGTTCACGTGCACTTCATGTAATCCCAGGGGGGCTCAAAATGAATCCAGTGTATATGTGGAATCTCCCGCCACGGCGTTTCTCGTAAGCATGTTGCAGCTACGTCTCCTAAAGCTCCGGAATGTATAATGTGTGCAAATGGATTGCATTTCTTGCTGCAGAGCAAATCGCCCTTGTGAAGGACGGACTTGGCTTGGGATTCACCCTGGAAGGTGGCAAAGATTCTCCACTCGGAGACAAGCCTCTAGTCGTCAAGAGGATCTTCAGAGGTGTGTGGCTAGTATTCTCACGTAGAATTCGTTGATAAGAATAAAGTTCGTCATTCTGCTGCTTGTTTATAAAATGCATTGTTCAAATGCATTCATTCTTTTTTGTCCTCAAACTAACGCAATGTCTCATGCCTGCCACTACAAATCCTAAAGTATTGTTTAATGCTTTAAAACACTTGGCAGAATTTGTACGTTCAATGGTTCGTCTTCAAGCCCTCGCGCCCTATCTTAAGATGTGCGTCATTCTCAGTCTTCTTGCTTCTTGTCTCCTACTGGAGGCCGGCCCTTACGTTTTCTGTCCCTCACTTTTATTTTCGAGCAGTCAAGTGTAGCATTCGTATTCTCGACAGATGGGTCATCCAAGGTGACTTGCGCAACCTTCTTATTCTGCATTCGTTTCCACTATTCACAGGTGGCGCTGCCGAGCGGGACGGGCGCCTCCTGGTGGGCGATGAACTTGTCTCCATCAACGCTCAACCCGTGTGCCTGATGACGCGTACCGAGGCCTGGAATTTCCTCAAGAAGCTGCCCGACGGACCGCTCACCCTGCAAGTCGTCCGCCGCGCCTGTTAAACGACGAGCGCGTGTGTTGAGCGCGCTGCCAACTTGTACAAAACGTGACTTGGTTTTTTTTTCTACGTTGCGGTGGTGTGCCTCGTCACAGCAAAAAAGAACTTACGTCGCCCACTTGTTCTGCAAGAGACGTGCTCCGACACAGCAGGCTGCCACATTGAAATAAATGTGAGACAATGAGCTCTAGCCAGCCTGGTCCACAAGAACACGCCGTGTCTTCAACGCAAGTGCTACTGGAACAGCGAAGGCACGAACTGCTCGCGCCTCTGTATACGAGACCGAACAATGTTTCGGTTTGTTGTTAACACGGTGACCCTGCTGCACAGCATTGGTTGAGCGCTTGCTTGCGAACGTGTACGGTACACACGGCTCCACGACTCCACGTGACTCCACGTGAAGATTACACGCGGCTTGACGAGAATGCCGTCTAAACACTGAACTCAACAGTTTGGAAAAGCTATTGCCTGCGTGGATGGTATTTTGCTGTGCCGTTTCTGCGCCTTGCTCGCTCCTTCAGTGCACCTCTCCTGAGTGGAGGGCGGGGGGGGGGGGGGGGGGTACTACATTTTAACCACAGGTGCCATCACGCACAATGCCTTACTTGCCTGTTTTCACCAATTCTTTTTACAGAATGCACTGATATTTGCATTTAAAAGTGAAAAGTACTAGAGAGAGCTTTTTTTGTGTGTGTGTGTCAGAATGATAAGCTGACCTTGTCTCCTGTACAACGCATAAAAATGTGTTCCCGAGCTGTGTAGTATTAGATACTGGAACAAGAACTAAACTGCCTTGTTGTTTTTCCCCCTTTCCGCTTGTGCCTTTTAACCTGTACTGCCTGGCCCAGCTAACTGTAAGATAGTAATATATACCCCTAACGCTTCGTCTTCACCCACCAATGTCCCGACTCGAAAGGCAGGTTGCCTTTGATGTTCAACAGTTTCGGCGGTGGTGAGTTGCGAGAGAACTTCCGTTATGAATATGTTTTATCACCGCCTCAGATGCCAGGCAGTCACTGGCTTGGTGTGGTCGATGTTGCTGAAGTTGAATAGTGCGGAATGTCCTTTTACATATGTATACTATATATACTTTCGCGTACGCAATGCCAACAGGGTGCTTCGATCAAAGTGCCAATACGACAAGATGCAAGAGACAGCGTACTTCGCATTCTTTTCTGACACGTCTGCTGAAGTTTATCGCGAAGACAGGGCCACCTTGGTGACCCGTATCTTCCATAAAGCTGAAGTCAGTTCCCGGTGTAGAATATTTTTCTTTATATATACAAATATTGAAGATATGTCTTCCAAAAAGTGAAGATTACAAGTATTTTGTCGCGCAATATAACAAATCACGCTGCAAAGCATAAAGAGAGACAGAGAGAGAACGCCTATTTATATATGTACTAGGAGAGTCGTATGAACTATTTTTTGTAATATATATTCATTACTCTAGAGGTGCGCGAAAACGCACTTATGATTATTTTTTTTTTGCTTTTCTAAGCCGACTAGTGCCTTAGAACAATAGCTACAACTGATAATCGCACAACCTTCTTTTTTTTTCTTTTATGACGGTGGTAAGTACTTTTACTACGTTCGATCGAACAGACAAACACACACACGTTGCATTTCTAACGATTTTCTTCGAAATTATATGACAGCGTTCTACAACTCCTAAATCAACATGAAACGTATTCACGTAATGTCATATTTTTATTTCTATTACACATCTGTGCTTTCTGTTTCATGCTTTGGTTGAAGAGCCGGTAAACGTCATTGTGCAGTAACAATCTACACTGCTTTTTTGTCTGAGCGACTGTAAATCAGTTGTGGTGAATAAACATTAGTGAAGCCTGTTGATACATTTCTTGTGTGTCATTGTTTCCTTCTGGAAGCCAGTGTGTTTCGGCTTGCAAGGAAAGGAGCACATCATCTGCTGCTCGTCCTCAACATTCACTGGAGCACCCATTCACAACCTAAATAGGCTTCTGATCTACATGTCAATCGTAGTTCGGGGAGTTAACGTCTAATTTTCGAAACCCTATAAAGAAAGGCTATTTACTGGCTTTGCAGTGCGAGACTTTAAAGAGAGAGATGAAAAACAAAAACAAGATTAGTTTATAGGGTGTTTTCAGATGAAGCTGTAAACGTAAACGCAACGTTGTGGTTAAAACCACGTCATAGGTGAATAAGTCTACTTCATAAGTAATATAGTTGAAGCCACTTAGTATGATACCAGCTCTAATATTATAGCATTTTGAGGAATAACAAGCTGCTGCACCATCAACTTTTGCATGTTTTCTATAGTGCAAGCATGTTTTTACTACAATGCCCCTATGCTACATTATCAGTTATGTCTCTGTGCTGAAAGACAATGGAACGCAAAATTGCTGAAAGGAATGAAGAAATCGAGAAATTCAAGCTGCCGAAACCCACCCAAAGCCGCCTTCGCCCTTTTGGATTCTCTATAGGTATCGCCGCATAGCATTTTAGTATTGCGGTAAAGCTGACTTTCAAAAGCTGCGCTGGCTTTTATTAATATTCTTTCGTATACACGATTAGAATAACTTATAATAACTTCTAAAAATTTGACATTAAAAACTTCAAAAACTACCACACATTGGTTCTGTGGGGTTTCCGACAGTCTTGTGAAAATGTCTGAACTTTCGAGCACGCCCGAAAAATCGGCCGATTTGTCATCCTTGTCACTGATGTCTGTTGACATAAGTCATTATCATGGTCTTCTCGGAGCAGCTTATTACAGCAGCTTTCTTCACAGCAGCTGTATTACAGTTTTCTCACAGAAGCTTGCCGTCTCCCGATTCTGCTTTTTTCCGTGGAACCATTTATAGCAACGATTAGTTATAAAAGCAAAATTCCAGTGACACTTGAGTATTGTTATGAGTGAGCTTGACGGTGATAGCAAATGGCGACCTCACGTTCTCCTCGCGCCTCAGTATTTCTGCACATACCGACCATCACGCACTAACGGAGAGTTTTTCCCGCCAGCTTTATCCAAGAGGCACATTATACAGAAGCATATGTCAAATCCACCAAATTACGACTGATAAAACAGTGCACAATAATAACACGTGGCCACAATTTGGAAATGCCCTCCTGCCAAATCGTCTATATGAGGTCCGCAGTTTTTATTTCCAGGATTAGCCACCCGACTGGTGAACGCTTTCACTTTCATTCGTTCATGTGAAGCTATATTTTCTTTTATACAACTAAAAATATATGTTATTTTTCTTTATTTACTCCCCATTTCTAGCCATCTTAGTTTCTAATGACTGCATGAGTCCAAACTGCACGAGTCTAAATAAACTTCAGTGTTGCTTTTCTGGGGTATAGCTTTTTTCGTTAAAAAGCAACTATTCACAAAACTGTCCCGTGGCATTACTAAAGCCGAACCGTTCAATTCGTGAACAATCAAAGTTAGCAGGTAGCCGAAGCTGCCAGTTACTAGTAAACAAGCCGATACTAGGTTGAGCTCAGTCTATACTCAAGCGGCCGCAGTCTCAATGTTTCATGAAGGATAAAAAAAACGAAAAAACAAAAACAAATGAGCTTGCATCTTTGTTGGCTGCATATGTTTCGACTCCTGTACTGTTCCCTTCAACCAAACAAACAAAATAAACTGCGTAGCTGTGTTATAACCCACAGTTTTTTTATTAGACCTACAATACAAGATTACCCAAAGCGAATCATATACTGCTGTGCTCACGCAGTGAGCATACGCATTTCATGAGAAAGCGCGGATTCGACTGCGCGCGACGGTGAACACCGGTGACCCGGGGTAACCTCGGTACGACTGAGAGCAGACAAACCGATACGGTCTGTTTTTCGCGCGCTATAAAGGAAACGTAACCACCGACCCTCGATACGCTTCGCTAGGGGCACGCTTCATTACACCGAGCTCCTTTGTCACGGTGTAATCGTTAGACGTGCAACCGCGCACGTCTATTGGTGGATGGATTATTTGGGGCAATTAGATTGGCCGCGTACGACACGACGGCGCACGCACTTGCTAAGCCACAGACGGCCGTGTAATTGTGGTGTGTTTTAACGACGAGCGTTTAACGGCTTTAGTGAAGTTGCTCTGGACGGTCGGTATCTGCACTCTAAAAAGTAAAGGAGGAAAAGGGGGGTCGAGGTTACTCCTTTAGAGGAGTAACTGACTTGCCACACCCATTGCACCATTTCGGGAGTAACTGCGACGGGAGGAACCGTTACTCCCCAATTTCAGTTGCTCTTTCAGAGAGTAACTGACTGGAGCAACTGATGCTCTGTCACTACTCCCATGGGAGCAATGGTTACTCTTGCTCAATACTCCTCAAAGGTGTAACGGATAGTCTTATTTGATACTCCCACAGGAGTGACGGTTACTCTTTCCCAATACTCCTGAAAGGAGGAACAGATAGTCTTCTTTAATACTCTCAGGGGAGCAACAGTTCTCTTTGCAATTACACCGCATGAGAGCATCCATTGCTCCCTTCCTAAACTCCTCAAGGAGGAACGGATGCTCTTGGTCAATGCTCCTATGGGAGTGACACTCTTTCCAATGGAGGAACAGATAGTCCTTTTCAATACTCCCAGGGGAGTGATGGTTACTCTTTAGAAGGAGCAATGGATACTCTCTGTCAATGCTCCTATGGGAGTGACGCTTAGTCCTTCCGTATGCCCCTGATGGAGTAACAGATAGTCTTTATCAATACTCCCCGGGGAGCGATGGTTATTCTTTACAAGGAGTAATATGCTCTGTGAATACTCTCACAGGAGTAACACTTGCTCTCTCTGAGTGCTCTTAATTGGAGCAATTGTTACTCTTTCCCATTAGTCCCGCAGGGAAGAATGGATATTCCACGCCAATGAGAGCGATGGTTACTCTTTCACAACGTTCCTCATCAGAGTCGCATGCAGTTGCTCATGATCGATGTCTCTCAATGTAGTTCATTACTTGTGCGAGTGCTCTTTAAGAAACCAGCCGTCAAGCTCTCCCAGCGGCAAATGAAAAAAAGTTTTCAAGAACATGATTTTCATTAGGTTGCGCCATGTCTGGCACAGAGGCTCCAGGAGAGATAAGAAATCCACATCTATTCGTTCAAAAAACTTTATTCATTAATGGCTCAGGGTGGTCGTATAGGCGTGCTCAAGAGATAACTGTCGCAGCTTGCAGGCCGTCCTCTTGCCGATTAGCATGCGACAGCGTTTCAGCACTGTTATTACCTTCGTGGGGGTCCTACAAAAATAAAAAAAGCACACTTCAACAAAAAACTTGTTGCTTCATATTACAACAGCTCCTTATGTAG